CCCGGCACAATCTTTGTCATGGGATTAGCCTACCTCTAATCCCTATCACAAGACTTCCTCCAGCCTACGACAAGACACACGGGAACTACAAAATATGCCCGGGGCTGCTCTACTTCACAAACTACCATGTTCATGACCACGAAAGTTTCAACAGAATATCCAATAGATGAAAACAAGCACTCCGGGACAGTATTTATAGACCAAAGGAGCGGCGCACATGGACTAGGAGTACCAACGAAATAAGCCTAACAAAGGACACAGTGAAAAGACAGGACTCAATAATGGATGACTCAGGCGAGAGGAAACAATACTCAAAGACGGACATATTCAGAAGAATATACCAGCACAGTACAACCCGTGAACAAAAGGCGTTTACACTCAACCACCACCATACAACTACATCTGACAACAGCAGACTATCAAAGAATACGCCAAGACCTCGCATCCGAGTTCTTCCTGAACGAAACAACACGGATATATGCTCGGGAGCTCGGCCAGCATCATAGCTTAATCAACACTAAGCTAGGGAGCTCGACCTTCATTTCAACTACTACCGGAGGCTCGGAACCAAAGACAAAGGACCAAGAATACAAGAAACTCAAGACTACAACGACGACGACACATCAAGACTCTTCATCCGACTTCTTTTCTAAAGAGAAGAACTCGGAGGAAGCACGGGCTGCGGGATACATAGCCCCGTAATTTTTTGAAGACAAGAATTCACCCAAAAAAGACCCCGGACATAGGCTCGGGGAGGTCGCATGCCGCATGAAACTACTCGGATGATGGTTTAATCCAAGACTAAAGGGCCGCTTGGAAAGATGCCACAAAAACTACTCGGATGATGACATAATTCAAGTCTCGGGAACTACTTGAACACAAATTTTCAAACAACATAAAGGATCAAGACCCTCCAACTTTTTGTTCCAAATAGCAAGAGGCTCGGGGCTACACTCGGTGAGTGCACTTTTTCTTGAAAAAGCGCACGTCACTTAAAAAAGACTTCCTCAACGCAGAGACCACTTCAAGACATTACGACAAAAAGAACCCGAAGCGAGCCATATTCGAGTTCTTTTGACAAAACTTCAACGAACAATCGAGAGCAACTTCAAGACAAGATCCTCCAGCTCCTTGTTCCAAATAGCAAGAGGCTCGGGGGCTACAACCAGATGGATGTACTTTTTCTTCACAAAACACTCACCACTCGAAGGTCCCAAGAAGCGCTACAAGGTTTCACTCCAGAAAGCACTCGGATAACATTTGGTTCCTACCTAACAAGACTTGAAGGAGCAAAGCGAGACTTTCAGAGCTCAACCATGAAGTGCTCGGGGGCTTGTCGATGCGGGACCCACAGGATACCCCGTAAGGGAGAGAGAAGATCTAGTTCAACTAGGATTCTTCCCATGTAATCTTAGTAATAGAACTATTAAGTAATCCTACTAGAAAATCTCATTGTAAACCGACTAGAACTCTGGCCTCCTGACTATATAAAGGAGGGCAGGGCTCCTGAGAGAGGACGACAATGGTACAACATAACACTTCATAATCAATCTAACGCAAAGGCCAACGCCGACTGGACGTAGGGTCGTTACTCGATCTACGATCGAGGGCCTGAACCAGGATAAATCGACTGTCTCTTGCGTTTACCATCGAGTTCAGCATACGCCGAAGCCCAAACATACTGCCCCGGGTACCCCCGTGGCAGGCTATCGGTGGTGAAACATCGACAGTTACTCTTTGTGATTCTTCCGCAGGGATGAGCGCAAAGCCCCTCAAAATAGCCAATGGCCAGAGGACAACAATATTCACCAAGATCTTCTCAACAGTCCTCCACAAGCACCAAGCTGGCTAGGTGACGACAATCACCGAGAGTAACAAGAAATTTTGAGTCACAAAGACAATCTAGTGCCACTCAAATGCAATGCACCAGAGTTCATTGGTCTTTGAACCAGATATGGTTACGCCTTATATAGCAGGATTGAGGGAGCAGTGGCTAATTAGAAATAAAGAAACAAGTATAGATAGCCGCTGAGACACTGCAAGCGACGACAGATGTGGCAGGCGCAGGTAGAGACAAGCAAAAGATACCCCATCATTATTTAGATTTCCAAAATGTTCGTTAATCATCGAAAAGGGGCATCATGGAACCGATAAACTCCCACAGATGCAAGAACTGTTCTCCATCAGAATGAGTGACGGGAAAGGTGGCGCATTTGAGCTAGGGGCAAAGCCCAGTTAAGCCCACCAGGTGCCTTGGCACCCAGGCCGAAAACAAAAATACATTGTTACTATCAACATTTCACCCCTGTGCACCCCTCTGGCCCAAAACGAGGCACCCCCCACCAAGCCAGTCTAGCCAGCAAGCAGCACCTTGGAGAAATTGAGGCCCAGCTGAGTGCTGACCAAGCCCACCTCGCACTCGCAGGCTCCTTCCAGGAGAAGGCACGGTGGCTCCCAGGAGGCCAGGAGGTCGTGACTTTTCGCTAGCGCGAAGCTACGTATGCCCGCGAGTCTGCATTTTTTCGCCTGAACGCCGATGGCGATGGCAACGTGGCGTGCGCGAGCCGGCGAGCGGCAACGCTGACATCCCTTCCCCTTCCATCTCTGCGGGTGATCTTTGGCAGGTAATGCAACACATCTACTTTTAATAGATAATTGTACAGTCTGTTTGCTAAATAATTGACCTATCTATTATCTTTCCTTTCAGACTAGTGGGATCTTGATCCCGGTCTCTGGACTGGATGTCATATTTTGCTAAAGTGCTCAATGTGATCTTCTTTTTATTAAATGGTGAGTGTTATTATCATTTACAGCTACCTTATGTTTCGATCAAAATCTCATCGTTATTGCTAGAAGTCAAATTTTAATGTTAAAATATGGTGGTTGCGCATTAGGTATGCTATTTTCTTTGAACATCGTATGGGTCACTGTAGTTATGCTCTAATTTCGTCACTGATTTGAGCAGCAAAAGGAAGCACGCAGCGATGGGGCCTACCGCCTATCACTGCAAAGCGGCAGCGGCAGCGGCGCGACAGACGAATTGGAGAATGGAGATAGCATCTGATGCAGCGCGGCCGGCACCGGTCGCGATCGCCACGAGCAGGGCCGTGCCGCTCGAGCCCGATCGGCCAGACGCCGGGCGTGCAGGGAATCTGGCGCCTTCTAGCGTCGCCGTCGCCCGGCTTCCTTTGACTAGGCTCCGGCTCCGGCTCCGGCTCCGCTAACAGTTTGCCCTCGGGCCTCGGCGCTCCATTCGACCAGAGATTGAGAACCATGCATATCTTTAGTCATCCCGGCCGGGAGATGCAGGTCGCCGTCGGCCACCCGCCTTTCCACGGCCGTCTTTTTGACCGGGAATCTCTTTCTTTCTCGCCCATGACCGTCGTCCCAGCTGAGAAGCGATCGAACACTCCGTCGTACTCCTTTGATCATAAATACTAGACACTTTGATAAGCTATCTTATAATCCGTGCTTTTCAGTTGGAGCGAAGCCACGTTGGCTTTCTCTGGTGCACGTGCACCACAGTAAAACCAAAAATTACTGATGTCTACCTCATCTTTTTCATGTATTTCCTTTGTAATTGTATAGATTTCTTGATATTTGATAGAGAGTGCATCAAGGTTAGTTTTGAGCTGGTTTCGCTACTGCTTTTCAGTTTTTTTTTTTCCAGCCGAAACAGTATTTTTCTCTCACGACAAATTAGCCGGAACAGTGTTTTGGCTTGTTTTTTCAGCGAAGCGAACGGAGCTAATGTGGGACTCCTTTGATCATAAATACATGGTCAAACTTTTCGTACTTTACCCGCCAATGGTCATGGTATCTAGTTTGGAAACATAAAAATACTCCCTCATTTTAAATTGTAAATTATTTTGACTTTTCTAGATACATATATAGTTTTAAATTTACTATATACATAACATATATCTAGGTACATATAGAAAAGCTATATATAAAAAAACTAAAACAATTTACAATTTGGAACAGATAGAGTATACATGTAAATTTTGTATTCTTCCTTTTGTTTTAATTAAATATATGTTATCGCACGACGCTAAAAAAATGTGTACTCCGTCCGTCCCGAAAAGACTGTTGTTTTAGAAACGAATCTAGATAAGTACTTGTCCAGATTCGTTTCTAAAACAACGGTTTTTTTTGGACGAAGAGAGTAAATTTGCCTTGAAAGATAGTGCTCCACATGTTGGGAAGAGCAATCTCGTTTGATAACATCCTAGAACTTTTGATAGTGCAAATTGCTGCTGCTTAATAGGCAGTAGTTAGGCATAAGACATGTGTATTTCTCTCTCGAACCATCGTCGCCCTATGTGAAAGACTGAAAGTGACAACCTTAGGAGTACTAGGTACTTAGAATGACCAGAAAAGGGAGTTGCCGGTACTTAGCTTACGATAACTGCAACTTTAGAATGGCAAGGCTGATCCCTCGTGAAGGCTTTATCTCTCGGCATTGCCTATAAATAGCCTCCTGGCGTCGCCCATCCTCTCGCCAGCCTCGAGATCGATCTAGGCCTCTCAGGGACCTTGATCCCCCAAGTCCCGAATTGTAGGAATCTGAGGGCTGATGGACAGCAGGAGGGAGTCCTCGGAGACCTTGAGGTAAGATGATAAGAGATGCTATTCTTTCAGCTTTCATTGATATGCGTACTACTGCAAATGGCCGTGCACTCAGACTGATTAAGTGCATGCATGGCATACTGCACCTGTCCCTTGTGGGCATATATATGCAATATATTTAAACAGTGCCCAAGATATCATCAAGTCAGTTCACTAATCTATGCAAGGCTTGAAACATGCATGCCCATTTCTTGTAACCATATGATCCTGTCAGACTGCCGTTGCGAGAGCTGCTAGCTGTTCATGCATGAAACTGCTCGTGCAAGGATCAGCTTTGCCTCCTGCATTCGATCCTGTATATGTTCCTGAAGGCTAGAATCCATACATCATGATCACAAACATATATATGAATGCCCACCTCATGCAAAGTCATGTCCCCCATGATCATCAGGAACAAATGCGCAGCCTGCTTCAGGCAGTACAACAGGATGGAGCACCTGGTGGAGCACATGAAGGTCTCGTACCACTCGGTGCACGAGCCCAAGTGCGGCGTCTGCGGGAAGCACTGCCGCTTCTTCGAGTCGCTCAGGGAGCATCTCATCGGTATGCAGAAATTAAGCTTTTGCCGAGAAGAAAAGACGGCAGCTTACATGCAGCCCAACAAGCACGGTTTCAATTCTGACGCTTCTTCTTCTTCTTCTTCTCCATCTTCCTTCAGGGCCGTTGCCGAAGGTGGAGTGCGCGCGGGTCTTCAGCGTCCGCGGCTGCAGCATCTGCCTCAACATTTTTGACAGCAACGCCACCGTCAGATACCACCGTTCGGCCTGCCAATACTCTCGTGCTGCTCCGGTAATGATATCGATCGATCTGTTGGTCTCTACCCTATTCATTATTCATATGCCGTATACTCAGTTCCACTTCAGAGCTCATCAGATGCATAGGCTTCGCTTTGTATGTGGCTTTGGGCTTTGGTTGATACTATAGATTCTAATTTTTGTTCCACCGTCCTATGTGGTCCCAGCAGATGCCCAGGGGTGGCATAACCGGTCGTGCGGTTGCCCTGGCTTGCAAAATGGTAGGGGGAGGGAGTGACGGCTCAATGGACCTTTGTGCAAGGGTGTGCCTCATTGGAGAAGATGAGCACATCATCTTCCAGACCTATGTCAAACCTACACTTCCTGTCACCAACTACAGGTAATCCTACTTCTCATGCAGTTACCATGCATCATGTTACTAGTCTACTAGCAACTCTAGTCGATGATTGAGGAGAAATTGTGAGACCAGCAAAACCAGAATGAAAGAGTCGGCAATCTTTCAGGGAGTACCACTATATATGTGCTTGAAAGTTGAAGTTGGACAGCGAAGATATTTGTATGGACTACTTTCGTAACGACACGAACTGATGGCTATATGCAACATGTTTTTCAGGTATGAAGTAACTGGGATAAGGCCAGAGTACTTGAGGGATGCAATGCCGCTTAAGGTTGCGCAGAGGAGAATCCAGGAAATCCTGTGCAACGGGGAGCCACTGTGGAAGTTACGCCCAAGGAGCTATGGGAGGGCAAAGATCCTTGTTGGTCATGGCCTGGACCATGACCTTGAGCGCCTAGGGTTGGAGTACCCGGCATTCATGATTAGGTGAGGAGCAGGGAGGAAAAAATTCACTGTATTTTTCTTTTCTTCCTAACATCTATAGGTCTTGCTTGTTGAGCTATGTATGGTTCAGGAATCAGTTACCACAGTTATTTTGCCCTTTTTGACAGAAATTGTTATGCATATGCAGGGATACTGCGAAATACCCACCACTAATGAAGACTAGCAAGCTGAGTAACTCCCTGAAGTACCTTACACAAGCATACCTTGGGTATGTCACTTCTTGGATGATCTATACAATCAGAATCAGCCTACTATTATTTAATATCTGGGTAATAATGATTCTAAGGAGATTGTATCCTCTTGTAGGTATGATATCCATACTGGCATTCAGGACCCCTACGAGGACTGTGTTGCAGCAATGAGGCTGTACATCAGGATGAGATCACAAGCTCACCCAAGAGATTACAACTCTGGCTCAGGCGAGGCCCAGAACAACTATCCAGCCTGGAGGCAGAGAGAGCTCGAGAGGATGAGCCCAGAAGAACTCCTGGCGCTTTCAGCATCAGACTACTATTGCTGGTGCCTGGATTACTAAACTGATAGTCTATAAAGAAAATAAGGCAGGCCAACATTGTTGGTTCAGTCATATTCCGTCTATGATAATAAATCTTTAGATGTACAAGTAGCTTGCGGCTTGACTATATATTGGGGTTAATTATGATGTATAAACAAATGATTCTATATATATGTAATGATGCTTTCATATAAAGATTGCTGTTTTAGATCTGTATAACAAGTATTATTATGATTTATGATGCATATGGAAAGAGGGTTTCCCGCTTGCTTTTTATAAATTCTAAAATGAGAAAAGCAGCAGCACATCTTGATTTATGTACATAAAACGAATGGATGATTGTACATTTTGTGCAGCTTGTCAGATTATCTCAGTGCTATACAAGTATATCTACATTAGCCTCAGTGCATCATACGTATGCAAACCGGGCGATTCAAGTTTCTGAACTGTTGAAGAAAAGTCTTACACTGGAGTCGTTGGATTTCCGGTACTGCTTAGTTTCTGTGGGTGGATTCTTAGGTTTAGGCTCGGGTGTTTTTTCCTGCTTGCCATTCTTTTTCTTGTCCTTGGACTGGCTCCTATTTAGCTTGATGAACTCAAGACACTGTCGAATGATTGTCAGCACCGTGAAATGAGTCTCAAAGTCGTTCTTGATGACAGGGGGGTGGTGGAGGTTGGGCCCATTGTTGCTCCAGGTGTAGTTCTCAATGAAGTAGACGCAATCAGTTCTAGCCCTGAACGAAACCTCCCGTAGAAGCTCTTCGGCCTGCCTAATGGATCTCATGGCCTTCTTAAAAGTCAATACGATGATCAAATTAAGCCCTGTTAATAGATGTTAGTAACAATCAAATTAAGCCTTATTATAGTACTTAAAAGCACACAGTTTAGGTTTTATGTGAAAATCACAAACAGAAATGGTCACATTGGAAGGTTTGCCAGCCAGGCTGGAGATGATCTAGCCTGGTGTCTCCGACCAGACCATTGCATTGGCAAGGAAGCAATGCGGCTCTGGGAAGAGAGGACGAACAAAAGATGGGGTGACCCAGCTGTGACGTCTTGAAGATCTACAGACTACAGGACAGCCTGGGAGGAGTGCATGTTCATAAACGAGCCTCTTTCACTATGTTTTCTACATGCACAAGGTCCTCTTTTTATGTTATGGCCTAGAAGTGCACCAAAATGTTGTGATGCCTGAACACGATGTAAATTGTATGCTGTGATGCTATGCTAATGGACAAGGGGGCATGGTCAAAAGATGTTTTAACTGAAAAATCTCATCTATGAGAGATCTTTACTTTCTCTTTTGCAAATGCAGATCAATTTTCTATTGGTATGGAAGAAATTAAACAAACAAAACGGCTCACGATACTTGCAAATTTCACTATAGGTTGATTTTTTTAATCGATAATCAAAAGGACACTTACACACAAAAATTAACAGCCTACCTACACAAGGAATTCTAAATCGATACACAGATGTATGATTGCAGTAATTGTTACTCTCTCCACTCCAAAATATAGGTTGTTTTATTTTTGTCTTTAGCTTTGATCAAATGTATAGCAAAAATATACCAAAAAATGCACTATCAAGAAATATTCCATGCTGAATTGAGTTAAACTAATTTGGAATTATAGATATTTGGGGTATTTTCCATAAACTTGGTCAAAATTAAAAAAGTTTAACTCTATCACAAAAACTAAAACAACCAAACGGATGGAATGCTAAATCCAAGGTTCCAACGTCGATTGTGTTGCTTGGGTTGGGCCTTTCTAGTAGACGGCCCAGTATAAATAAATAGTGCGACACGCAAAGCCCACAAGAAGTTCTGGAAGCTGACTGACCTTTGTTTCGGACGGCGGCAGAAATCTCCGGGAGGCGCTTGATGGCGGCGTTCCGCTCCTTGGTGGGTGCGTCGCAGCGCAGAACGAACACAACGCACTCAGGGTCCCCGCCGCTGATGGCGGCGTCGATGTCCTCCCTCGTCAGCCTAACCGCCTCGGGGAGCGGCGGCGCGTCCAGCAGCTCCACCACGTCACCCTCCCGCGCCCCCGCGCCGTCGCCGTCGGCCCCGGCCACCACGGCCTTGACCCTCCGGCGCCGCCTGGGCCCGTCGGTCCCGCCGCCGGGCGGCGACGCCTCCGCGCGCAGCAGCAGCGGGCCCTCCTCGGCCGCCAGCGCCCGGCACGCCGTGTTGACCAGCGAGCTCTTGCCGTGGGCACGGAACCCCGTGATCAGCACGGACGGCGGCGGCGGGGAGGCGTCCTCCTTGGCGCCTTCGCCGTCGCTCCCGTCGCCGCCGTCCTCGTCGGCGGCGGCGAGTGCCCCGAGCGCCTCGCGGATCTCCCGGCGGAGGGAGGCCACGGCGTCCTCCCTGCGGAGGCGCGCCGCGACAATGAGCGCCAGCGCCCCGGCAGCCGCCGCCGCGGCTATCTTGAGGAGGAGGGGCAGCCGCGGCATGCGCATCAGGACGGGGCTAGCGCTGCCGGGGACGGGGACGGGTCCTTCGGCGGTAGGGAGATTTCGCGAGGGGCTAGGAAGATCGATGATGGATCATTCCTCGATACTGCCATTGCTGTTGGCATGAAGCGAGACGGCAACTGTTTTGGGGGAGATTTGCCTTGCAAGAGGGTCGGCGAGAATAAAGTTTGCCTTCTGGATGAAGCGCCATGCCGAGCAAGGATGGAATATGATGACCACAGGGACACGGAGGCCGCGTGTAGCGTTCTCGGTTTTCGCCTCACGAAATGGATCGAATGCTTTTTTGCCTGTTTTAGGCTACTAGCTTGTGATCGAAAATAGCAACTCTAAAGTCTGCCCCCATTAGGAGTATTTTAACCATAAGCATTAGTAAACGGTTGTGGGATGTTTTTAAAAAGATCTACGAAAAATCCATTTTAACTACTCCTAATACAATCTCTTAAAAGTTAAAAAAAACGTACAGTAGGAGTATAGTGATTACGTTCGACTGGCTCAACCACTGATGGCGGAGACGACGGCCAGCATCGGCTTGTGTCATCAACCACGTGGCGTCGGCGACCTCGTCCAAGTTTATCAGTTCAAAGTTTCTGACGACTCTACCCCATCTGAAAAGCAAAAGCATGCAACGTGCAGAAGCCATTTCTGTGGGGTTCATGCAAAACCTGTTGGCTACTGTATACCTGCCAGCAGCAAAGGCGAAAACGTCGTCCTCACCACGAGGCAGGCCTTGCCGCGGCTGGCTGGACGATTTTTCCAGAAATCGTGATGGAGCCATAATTTACGTGGATTCTAAATTTGATTTTTTAGATGCTATTTATTAGAAACTCTCGGAGAGAATCTTCTTCTTTTCTCCTTAAATTTTTTTAAAAGTTGTCAAACTATAAGTTTTTAAGAGAAAAAAAAAGTTAGGAACTCTCGGAGACGCTCTGACATACTGAAACCTCTGCTATTATCCCCAGAGGCAAAATTTCACGAACCTTTCGAGCTTTTTTCCAGAAATCTGAAGTGACATAAAGCTGGTAAACGAAATACTAATCCCCGGCCGCGCCGCCGAGCTCAGACAAGCCATCGAGCACGCGGCTCCACAGAACAGAGACGTGACGCCAGCACGAGAGGTGAGAACGACCTCCCGTGCACTGTACCCACTCTAGGTTGGACACGGTTCACCTTCCCCGCTCCCACCCGCCAAGCGCTCTTCGCGCAGCCTCACTCGACTGTTCCCGCCCAGATGCACCTGCGGGCTGCCGCGCCGTGCGCCCGCGTGCGTGGTTAAGAAGGTTCGCCACGTCTCCTGTGCTATAAAATTGCAGCCGCGTCAAAGCTTTGCTCCACACGCACTCGCTCGCAGCAGTATCAGTGCAACACTGATCCAGAGCACACCAGCTGAGTTCGAGCTCTAGTCGTCTTAGCACCGGCTCCGGTGTCATCCATGGCCATGAGGAGGGCGGCGCAGCAGGCGGCGCGGTTCGCCATGCTGGGGCCGCACGTCCCTCACATTGCGCCCGCTGCGAGGAGCCTTCATGTACGCCACGTTTGCTACTCCATTTTATTATCTGTAACATCTGAGTCAGGATGTCTGGCCACTTATTACCCGTGTGTCGTTCTGTTTGTTTCGTGTACCGCTAGGCGTCCGCCGGCAGCAAGAAGATCGTGGGCGTGTTCTACAAGGGCGGCGAGTACGCCGACCGGAACCCCAACTTCGTCGGCTGCGCCGAGCACGCCCTCGGCATCCGCGGCTGGCTCGAGTCGCAGGGCCACCAGTACATCGTCACCGACGACAAGGACGGCCCCAACTGCGGTAAGCGTGTCGTGCACTTGTGCTCGTGTACACACGTCACCACTGAGTAGCACTAGTGCTGACTCGCTGTCGCGCTGACAACGTTGCGTACATTGGCGCCTGCAGAGCTGGAGAAGCACATCGCGGACGCGCACGTGCTCATCACCACGCCGTTCCACCCGGCGTACGTGACGGCGGACCGCATCGCGCGCGCCAAGAACCTGGAGCTGCTCCTCACGGCGGGGATCGGCTCCGACCACGTCGACCTGCCGGCGGCCGCGGCCGCGGGGCTCACCGTCGCCGAGGTCACCGGCAGCAACACGGTGTCGGTGGCGGAGGACCAGCTCATGCGCGTCCTTGTCCTCATGCGCAACTTCCTGCCGGGCCACCACCAGGCCATCCGCGGGGAGTGGGACGTGGCCGGCGTCGCGCACCGGGCGTACGACCTGGAGGGGAAGACGGTGGGCACCGTCGGCGCCGGCCGGATCGGGCGCCTGCTGCTGCAGCGCCTCAGGCCGTTCAACTGCAGACTGCTCTACCACGACAGGCTCCGGATCGACCCGGAGCTGGAGGCGGAGACCGGCGCCCAGTTCGAGGCGGAGCTCGACGCCATGCTGCCCAAGTGCGACGTCGTCGTGCTCAACATGCCGCTCACCGAGAAAACTAGGTGAGACAGACCTAGTATAACCGAAAAATCAAACGCGCACGCGGCGTCATTAGCACTACTGCCATCTGCCTGGTTCTCATTAACCGGCCGCTCGCTGCCTTTGAGCAGAGGCATGTTCGACAAGGAGAGGATCGCGAGGATGAAGAAAGGCGTGATCATCGTGAACAACGCTCGAGGCGCGATCATGGACACGCGGGCAGTGGCGGACGCTTGCGCCACCGGGCACATCGCTGGTATGTACTGGCTGCCGTGTCCTGCTCATTTTCAGCTGGTTATCATTGTGGCAAGATATAGAAAAACGCTATGCTCGCCAGACTGATACGTCTGAAACTGTTGTATGTGTGATGATCAGGATACGGCGGCGATGTGTGGCACCCTCAGCCTGCGCCCAAGGACCACCCGTGGCGCTACATGCCCAACAACGCCATGACCCCTCACATCTCCGGCACCACCATTGATGGCCAGGTCAGTAGACAGTAGTACATACAGTTCTTAGTAGAGCAGAGTTGAGGAATACTATGACGTAGTAGATGTAATAATAAGCATGTTTCTGGCATGATTTTTGGTACAGCTGAGGTATGCGGCCGGGGTCAAGGACATGCTGGAGAGGTACTTCAAGGGTCAGGATTTCCCAGTGCAGAATTACATCGTCAAGGAAGGCAAGCTCGCGGGCCAGTACCAGTGAGCATACATGAAGACGCAGCTGCGGTGCGAAGCCTGCTCCTGCCTCGGCCTCCTCTGCCTCAACATGTTAATCACCATAAATAAAGTCACGACGTTTACACATTGTCGTCATGGCGGTTATGGGTGAAAAGTTGTTCCATTTTCCAACTTTCCTTCCTTTATTTGTTTGAGCTTGCAATGTCTAATAGCCTTTGATACAAGAACTCAAGACAACAGTATTGCTATGTTGGCCTTTATTTATACCTACACAATTTTTAGTTCTCATCAACAGCCAAACAAGCAACTCAACATCAGAAACCACCCACCAGAAATTCAACTGCTGCACTTGTTCTGAGCATGATAATCTTGCAAATAGCTGTTATGTTGCTGAATCAAAAAAAAACCCAGACTTCAACTTGTTAAACTAAAGGATAGTGAAACCACTTGACCCTTGTCTGTTTGGGCTTGACAGTCGTTGGAACGATGCAATCTCCTCTTATAGACTGCATCCAACCTGATGGATACATATCCAAGTACTCCAATGTTTACATTAATGTGATGGTGTGCAAAAGCTCACAATTGAAGCGCATTCAGGCCTTTCATTAATGCATCAGTGTGCTCAGGTTTCCCAACTGAGATACGGATATACCCTTTCAGTTCCTTCTTGTCATAGTGGCGGATCATCACTCCCATCTTTGCAAGGTCTTCCTGAAATTTTTGTCAATAAAACACGTGAGTAATATTGCAAATTGCATACTCTTGCAAACATTCCTGCAGTTTTATTCCAGAAAATGCAAACAGAGATATTCATTTTTGCAGAAAACCAAGTTCGATATTTTCTGACCTTAAATCAAAATAAAAGTGACTATGATGTCTCAAAAGATTAAGATGGAAAAGTAGATATGCAATAACAAAGAAAACGAACCTTTATTTTCTTTGCATCCTTTCCTGATGTGACCTCGCAGAGAATGAAGTTAGAATGACTGGGAAACGGTTTCAGGAATGGTATTCCTTTGAGAAGATTAAACAACCTCTCCCTCTCTTGTACCAGTAAATTTTTCACATTCTTCCGTTGTCCAAGGTTCAACAAACACACGTTAAGTTAGCCAAAGTCGAACTGTGGAAAGAATTATTACAGTGATTTGCAAAAGTGATACCTCCAAATAGGTTGGATTCTGCAATGCTGCACATGCTGAAACTTCTGCGGCCACAGAAACATTATACGGCTGCTTGGCCCGCCACAAATACTCAATAATGCTCAGAGGAAATGCACCATAACCCACACGAAGACCAGCTAAACCTGCATTGTTAATAACTTTTAAGCTTAACCTTTCAGTTCGTAATTTTTTAGCAAATGTGTCTTTTAGCAAGTGACTTTAGCAACAGATGATTGGCATATAGCAGCTTACATGAGCTAACAAAAAATTACAATCAACGATTGGATTAACAGTTTCCTTATCAGTCTAAAACCAACCAGGGGATTACAAGGCAGTGTCATGAGGAAATCATAACATTAAATTCGAGATCTCCAAATACTAGTGAAGTTGTTAGTTTGTTTGGAATACATTTACACTTGCATGTTAACTATATAGGACATAAAAATCACAAACCTGCTCGTTTGCTAAATGTTCGGAGAACAATCAAATTATCATACTTCTTAACCCATGCCATCTTTGACTTTAGGCTTGAAAACTCAATATAAGCTTCATCCAGCACTACAAGTATCGGAAGATCCAGTATCCTTAAAAGATCATCATCGTTGATTACACTGAACAAATAGAATCAAAGTAATTCAGTAAAATATGGTAATCTGGACAGCAGGCAATAGAATAATAGTTCCTCCACTTATGAACAAAAATATACCTGCCATCTGGATTGTTTGGGGATGTCAGAAATATGCATTTTGGATTTTCCTGTTCAACAACTTCGACAATACGATCAACGTCTAGGGAAAAATCGGGCAGTCTTGGAACTACATTATAGAATGGTGAATGAAATATCATGATGGGAATATGCATATAGGTGAAGAGAAAAAACAATTTAATAGATGAACTAAAATTAACCAAAGAATCATTGAAGGTTCAAGAAATATAAGCAAAAATCAAGAAAGGACTATCTACCCACCCTTGATAACAAGTGCACCATTGACTGAAGCATCGAACTCATACATTGTGAATGTTGGAGGGCAATCAACAATTTTGTCACCTGGTTCGAGCACACATCTGCAATTGCACCATTTATGAAATAGATGATAACTCAGCCTTTGGATGAAGATATCAGCAAAAAGTTAAATATAAATGAGCTAGATGCTAACCTCATAATTAAATCAATTAGTTCATCTGCGCCACATCCAGCAAGTATGTACTCAGATTCAAGTCCAGAATCTTCAGCAAGGGCAGCACGCAAGTGACGGCTTTCAGGATCAGGGTACACATAGGGGAACTTGAGACTACCTAATGCTGTAGAGACCTGTAGAGGGAAAGGTGTGCTTAATCTAAATACAGCGAAGAGAAGGTATTATTTGTTTACATGAATCAGCACTTAACTGCTCGATTATAGAAATACCAGCATGGCTAAGTGAACTACTGTTTGAATAAAATTTATGAATCCTTCTTAGAATTTGTTCATGTTCCACTTGTCTAACTTCTGATTCTTACGAATGTACTGTTTCGAGTACTGGATTACAGGTTATAGTAAACCAATCTTTATATTGAAGACTAGAGCTCACCTCCGGGGGTGGACCATATGGATTCTCATTTGCATCCAACTTGATTATGTCCTCAGGTCTACGCCCAAGCCGAGCAGATAACACCTGTTACGAGGTCCGTTTTCAGCGAACGTAAGAGCAGAACACAGTATCGCCAGAGAAATTTGCCGCGGGGCATTTTCGCGAGCACCTCGAGAGCATAACAAAAGGCGGCGTGCCTTTTCCAAAATACAGGGGAATCTTAGAAGCGGGTCTCGTATCGTACCTCGAAAGGAAGGATGGGCTGATACGGGGCGAGGGTCCTGAGGTGGCGCCGGATGAAGGAGTCACCGGTCGGCCGCCGCTTCGCCTCGGCCGCCGCCGTGGGCTCCTCCACCGGGGCCGCCGACGCCATGGTCCGCAGAAATACCCTGCCCGCTGGGCGCCGCCTCTCGCCAGCAAAGTGGGACGCGGCCGGCGACGGGTTTCGGATGCGGAACCGGATGGAACAATCCATCAACGAAGCGGCGCCGCCGAGCCGGCAGCTGCGGACGCAGCGCGGCAGCCGCTGGGGGCGCGGCGGTGGACCTGGAGTGGCGCGACGCAGCGTTGGGCGGCGCGGCGCTGGGTCGAGCGTCGCGGCTGCGCGGCGTTGGGTCCTGGGGTCGGGCGCTGGCGGCGGCGGCGCTTGGGGTCGACAGTGTTGGTATCGGTATCGCAGAGGGCCGGCCAAGTGTGACTAGTGACGTGAGAGGAGCCAGGGCCCAGGGGCGTCTTGCGCACGTGAGACCTAGGAGAATCGTTGGTTTGGTCTGTGCGGCTGACACGCTTTGGGATTCGTGCCCTGACGCATCTGGCGTTTCTCCGTGCCTGAGGGCTGAGGCTCGAGTTCCAGGCCGTTTCATCGTGTTCTGCTTCGCCACAGGGCCACCGGGCGCGTGCGCGGCGGACGCGCAGCGCCAGCACAGCCGCACAGGTGCATCGCGTTCCACTTCCACCATGACGGCACGCCACTGCCGTGCGCTCATCATGGTCTTCTTCACTTGTTGCTGCTTGCTTGGGAGGAACGCATGCGATCGCTTCTTCCGGTCAACCTCTCGCTTTCGTGTGCAGGTCGTGCGATTATCTGACCAAATAATGTGGTACCACGGCTCGGGTCGGAAGGTTTTCAGGAACACGGCTCAAGCGGTCAAAAAACTGCATTCAACATCATGCGGCCTGTCAGTTGCGACTGTGCCCTTTTCGTTTCTCTTACGATCCATACTTTTCAAATTTGTTTTTTTAATCACGAATGATTTTTTAACCTCAACAAATAGACAGTGTTTGACATATTACACGTTGATCTAACACGAGGCCTTAATTTGGACTGTGTGTTCTCGTTTCTCAGCAAATTAAGTGCTTCTTATGCCGGAACGGTGTTTTTTTTTTTTCCCCCACAAAAAACGCAGGACCTTTGGTGCGTGTTCTCGCGGCAGGGCTGGGGAAACCGATTAGAAGAGTTTGTTGTTTTCCAACGGAGCTCGTATGCTTGCTGGTCTTTGTGGAGCTCGGTGGTCCATCGCGTGACGTGATACAATCATCAGGAATACAGTTACCGGTCATCGCCTGTCAAATCCGCAGGATCCTCTCGGCCAGATTGACCGGCTGAACGCCACCGACATCTAGCTGCTTTGATATCTGAAAATTTTCAATGAACTTTATATGTCTAAATTCATATGTGATGTAGGATTGCTCATTCTGCCCTGAACATACCATTATTTCTGGCATGCTGATATGTACATGCATTTGACTGATCGAGTACAGTTTATGCCGACCAGCGGATCTCTGAATGGAATCCTTGGCTAAATCCCTCATATTTACACCTACCGTTGCGTGAATCGAAAAAATAGCCTATTCACATACCCGCTCTAACGCCACAGGCAGCCTGAAGCTTCCATCCATCCGATCATCACCTTCAGGAGCCGACCCCTCCTGCTCCCGCCGGCCCCAAAAGCTCCCGAACCAGAAGAGCCCTTCTTGCTCAATGATCGCCTCCCACACGCTGTCGCCGTCGTCGTCGTCTCCGCCGACAGTGAAGCACCTCTCTTTCCAATCGCCGGCGCCCTCCTCTCCGATCCCAAACGCGGCTTCAAAGCCGTCGTCCAGGTCCAGGAGGTCGGCCAGCTTCAACCCGGACCCGGCTGACGACGCCGGCCTTCTCCTGTGCCATCGCCTCAGGATGATCCTCTTGGTCTTCACGACCACCTTCCTGGGCAGCCTGACGAAGAGGAAGACGGTGACCTGCAGCACCAGGCACGGGCAGCAGCAGCACACCACCAGGCAGTCCATGGCCACCAGGCCGGTCTCGCCCACGCACGACGACATCGCTGGACGCGCGTAGACAGAACACAGAAGCAACAGCGATGGTGAGGGAGCAAGAAGAGACGGCGAGGACATAGATAACTGCATTGGTTGCTTGGAAGAGTGAGCCGGAGGTTAAGGTTGCTTGAGCAGCAGAGTAGTGGCTTAGGGGATCGATCTTGTTGATTCTTTCAAGCCAACTCACCCTGAACCGTCGCAAGGGGCTACGTGTCTCTTGTTCTCAAGCTTGGCCTACGCATTACAGGGGAAAAAGCAAGGGCAAAGCACACCTATCCTGTGGCCACAACACATGCTGTGTACGGGGTATCTGCATTTTTTTGGCGCGTTTTTTCTTGGGACACACAACAACGAAAACATAAACATCAAGAAACAGAGGTGGCTTGGATGATGATTGTCGATTGCTGTGTTTAGCGAACAACAACTTGTCTTTCTTGATGGCACCCAGAAATGAAGTGGAGCGTAACATTTCCTTGGAACCTGAATAACAATTCGACGAGACCACCGTCAGAGGCACATGAAAATGTCGTTGGCTTACTTGTTAAACTCCCTTCGTCCTTATAGTTATACCTCCTTCTCGAAATATAAGGGATCCAAGTTTATCCAAAGTCAAATTATGCTGAATTTGATCATGCTAATAGAGAAGAATATTATGACTACGTCAAAGAGGTATATTATAAATATATATATATATATATATATATATCCATAATGTATTAATGATGTCAAAGAGATAAATTATGAAAATATATTTCATAATATATATACGCGCTATTCTACACCCTAGGTGTAGAACAAGCTGTTATACTGAACAAAATTTAGTACTGTTCAGCAGCCGTGTTTCAGTATTATTCAGTATTTCGAGCTACTGGGTGTAGTATTGACTGATATTGGACGCGGTTTAGTACTACCCAGTATTTTTTTCTGGTCAATTTTAGCTTATGGTGTAGAATAGGTATAGAATAGCGCTGCCGTATATATTAATAATGCTAATTTAATGCCATAAATAGTATTCTTCTTTTCTATATACTTAGCTAACTCATCATAGTTTCACTTATGACAAATCAAGTCTACATTCCTTATATATGGCTGTAAAGAATTTGAAAGGTGTACTCAACAACAACAAAAAAGCAACAAAACTTGCTATTCAGAGTCCATCCCGAACTAGAGAAAGACAACCACGCATGATCTGACCCAGTGCAATCCATTGCTATGGACACGCGATTACACAAAAAGGGAAGGTTGTTTTATTTTGAAACCGATGAATAGACGTAAGCCCATGAATACAAGAAAACTGATGTATTGCGTCAGGAGTTCACACGTTCCAATGACTTAGAGCTCAAAAACTTTCCATGGCATGCATCCTGTGCATGCTTCTTTAAGTAAAGAAAGTGAACATAAATTGTTCAGTAGGCATCTAGCCCACAAGACAATAAAAACAGTGCCCTTCACTTGTTAGAGGAAACATTTTATTCAAAGGCCAGATCAAAGTTGCAGACATGGGGAAACCTTCAACAGCACAGCCTCTGCATTCTGATGATGTTTTATCCAAAAGGCTGTTAGAATTCAAGGGGTTGCCTCAAGAACGCCTCCATTTGCTTCGCCCTAGTCCTGATAGACATATCAAACACCTTCTGCCCGAATTCAATCACTAATCCTCCCATGATGCTGTAGTCAATCTGCAACAGAGAAAGCACAGTTGAGGAGCATCCCTTCAGATATTACTTTCGAGAAGCTCGTGGATCAAGTAGTTACCTTCTGTTCCACCAAAATAGTTTTGTTCTTCCCAAGGATATCCTGCAAGGTATCCTTGAGTTCTTTCTCCTCCTTCTCGGGAAGTGGCTAATAGCAGAGGAAACATGGGTCAGCAAAAAATAGAAGTGCTGTTACATACTCAAGGAACAATAAATGAAGCTGTGTATCGACAATCTGGGCTAGCAAGCTTCCTAAAATTCTGAGATGATTTGTACTCGGTTTGTAGAGCAGTAGAAGTAATGTTATCAGAATTTGCTTTGAGATTGTGTGATAAGAGATGCAGCAGCTTGTTCGAGGCCGACATAAAACTAAAACAACTTTGAGCGGCACGGAGAACTGCAGGGTCGAGCTTGATTTTGCCAACCTTCAATGCAAAGATCGCCACTTATATGGCCCCCTTGCTCTGCAAATTGGCTTCCTATACTCGAAAACCAACATATCCAAACCCAATAAACCAAAATGTGTCCACATTAACCATGATCTTTCCCAGCTAAGAAAGAAACAAATCAAGAAAACAAAACAACTAGAAAGGACCCGAGTGCAGTATTTGATGGCCACAAATGCTGTACCAAAATATGTAAGGTATGCTTCCAAAACAATTATGCATGTCAAATGCTGATATTGCTTACTCAAGACAACTCAGAAATGTGCAATATAGCACCTCCCACTAGCAGTCATGAATAGTACATATACTTTATGAAATTTGTGATAAATTTGACACAATGCCCGGCAATTCTCCATATGAAATCTGGAGGCACTACATTTTTTATTAACATGTGAGGAGACAGAACTGTTCGACAGATACTGTTTTTATGGTAGCAAGAGGGAATAAGGGATCGAAAATCAACTTACAATAACTGTCCTGACCACAACCTTCACCTCCCCCTTGTGTGCCATAGTCAAATCAACAAATCTCTCCGCAATGCGCTCAATATATTTCAGCCTGCCATTGTCCGCCAGGACAGCTTCATAAACCAACACATAGTTAGGCACCGACAAGATACACGACTAATGTCACAAATTATAAGCATTTACCAATCATGCCAAGTACCAAAATTCAAAGACAAAACAACTTTTTGTGAGAAATCTTCAATTAACGGGTTTGGTAACAACATATAATTGATTCTACAACCGCCTTTATTAACAACGCTATTAAATAGGCTAGTCGACCCTAGTCGCCATGGTACCGACCAGGTGATTAGTCGCGGTTAGTCGATGACCAGGTTGATTAGTCGACCCTAGTTGGTCCTAGCTGTCTGCTGTATGTACCAGAACTTATAAGGTATATATAGCATTACTATATAGTATAAATCAAGCATCAAGACTAGAGAGGTATGACCTAGTTCATTGCTACCTGCTACTAGAAACAGAGCATCAAACTTCAAGGCAAGACAAGCTGCACAG